AAGCGCTTCTGGACGATGAAGGCGGATGCGGTAGATCTGTTCTACAGTAGTTTGGAACCGGTCCTCAAAGCTAAATGATGTGATCTGTCCCCAGAAGCCTTGGCGGAGAAAACCTTGAAGCTTGGACTCTGTGGAGGCTAAGCTGCCCCAAAGCCCAAGCGTTCTCCCCCAAAACAAGATAAGGATCGCCGTTCGCGGCGCTAAGCTGCAACAGCTTGATGGGTTGCCCCTGTGCGTTTGGTACTTGTTGCTTGCCCTCGGGCCTGATTTATACGTCTTGTTATAGCGGCTTTCCCTACACGTGTAGTGAGGGATGTTTTCCTGCTGCTATCTGCTTTTCGGCCTGGGTTGGCGCGCGCTCCGGATTGTGTACAGCTTTGCGGTCCCTGAAAAGGGCTCGGTGTGCCTGCTTGTGCCGTAACTCTACCGCAGCGGCCAGCTATCCTCCGTCTGTCCGTCACTCACGCTTCTGATCTCGCAGGGTTGGGCCAGGATTAGGAAAAGGTAGCTCAACTTTTGATCTTGTTGGTTTGGGCCAGTTCAGGATTAGGAAAAGGTAGCCCAATTTCCAGTAGTACAGCATTTTTCTCGTCAGCGGGCGGGCGAATTTCAATCCGACGGATGGAATACATGCCAAGAACTTGTCAAACATAAACGGCGGAAGGCAGCGCTAGAACCTCTAGGGGCCCTACTGTTTTGAGATTACGGCATCTGAACGGCTGTGGCTTGCGGTGCGGTTTTAGCGGGTCATACGTGACATTGTTTTCAAGTCCATGTTGTTGGTCCATAAATGTCCATAATTTGAGGACGCACGAATTGAACCACTGGCCGCCATTTCCGAAGCAGCTTACTTCAGCAGATGTACAATTGATAAGATCAGGGCTGAGGAGTTCGGCGCATGAGAACGTGGGCACGAAATGCATTTGGGCCAAGTAGAATTTTGATGTCTAAGGTGCCGAGGAACTGGGTGTATGGTTTCGGTTTTCCGGAGTGTGTTTATGAATGTATGAATGTATCAATGCGTGTGTATGTGGATCCAAATGCAAGGAAATTAATTTTGGCAGATGCGTTTTTGGCCGAAGAATGGTTTTGCGATCATCTTTTGATGTGGCGTTGCAAACCCTTCACATGGCTGTATCATAGCTCATTTCAGGACTTTCCGCAGGAACAAGTCAGGGTTTAACATGAGTCGAAAAATTTCAGATCAAGTCTGCACAGCACAGCGGGCACTTGAACACAGCTGGAACCACTCGAGCCCTGGCCGCAGATTTCAATGTTTTGTGGTCTGCAACCTACATGTTGCATGTAAAGTCAGCCAATGGCCAAGGCAAACCGGGAGAACCGGCAGAATTTTAGAAAGGCAACATATGTTAGGACGTTTTGTTTATCCCTCAATCCATTTGCATTTTGGGAAACCCCATAGGGGATCTTGTCAAATTCAACGTTGTTGAATCTTGCGTAAGCACGCGGAGAATCCCTCTGCAATGTTCTCATGTATTACATACAGGCAGATGTACAGATTTACGTATACACACACATAAATATGTATATATATATATATACGTATATATGTGTGTATGTGTACACATAAATATACATATACATATGCATATACATAAAAACATATGCATATACACACACATATGAGCCGGGACAAAAACCCTAATTTGGTTTCACATAGAATTGGCACGGTTTATTGGCTTGTGCCAGATCGTGGGAAACAATAAGAGTACAACGACGATAAAGTGTTACTTTCTTTGGGTTTGCATATGGACCCCACGCAGACGGAGGCTCCTAATCCATCTTATTTATATATTATAGGGACTCCGTGCAGACCGAAGCTTTTATTCTGTCCTGTTCATGCGGACCGAGGCTCCACATGTATGCTATTTAGATGGACCCCGTGCGAACCATCCACCAGTGCTGACCATGTTGAGTCCAGAATTTGGAGCAGGAAATGAAGTGACCAAAACGATAACGAAACGATAAGCAAACCATACGAAAAAAATCCTTGCGACCCTTGTATGTGAACCTGCGCCCTGTCCAATTCAAGTTTACAATAGGGACAACGGCGGTTCAAAGAGGCAGCAATTGAAGGCTTCGGGTCCTCTGGGGTCGTGAGTTTCTCACAACTACTGTAAGGGTTTGTTTTGGAGGCCGCTCTATTCAGGATGTCAACAGAATGCCAGCACACTTGGCCACTGCTGAACTGTGTGCCCAAGTGTGCCCAAGGGCACAAAGCCTAAACAACGAGACCTTGTGTAGATCTTATAGCCTGCTTTTGCCAGAGAGCGTCATTATGCACCCGAAAGCCCTTATCTCTCATATTTGTGTTATTGAATGGGAATACGACGCAGCAAAAAAGATAACATGTTAAACTGGGTAGAAGGCCGGCCTCTAAGTTTTTGGTGCAGCTCTTATAGTCTTACATATATATATATACATGTACTTGTATCCCGATGGCCCCAAGGTCTGTCAGGCACCCCCTTTTTGGGGAGACCCTTAAGTTTGAGACCTGAAACTCCAAATCCTTAAGGCTTTACACCTTAAATTCGTAAAGCCTAAATCCGCAACTCTAGCTAGGCCTTACGCCCCTAACCCATGAACCTTGAATTCCTAAACCCCAAATCTCCAAACCTTAAGCCCTGAATCCCACGAAGCTCAGGTCTTCGTACGGAGCGGGTCTGCCGCCAGGCTGACGGGGGTTCAAGTTCAGGGTTTACACAGGTTACATAGGGGTGGGAAGGAATGGGACAGAACATGGAAGCTACTACATTATTATGGGTTTAAAGTGTATAGGGTTATCTAGGAATGTGTATGTATTTATATATATATATGTTGGTATTACCCCAATAATGGAGAACCAAATGCAAAAGAAAACGGAACATGAAATAACAACTGGGATCATACAGGGGCTTGTAGAGATTGTGATGGGGGTCCCATGGCTAGCCCTGACGCGCCAAGTGTATACCCAAGAACTCCTATGTAGCTCTGTTATGGGTTTTGTGTAAAGGGATACAAGATATTGCTGCCCAAAAAGGAACTAAGAGGTTCTGGGCAAGTAATGCATACACTGGACCCTAAAGTCCTTGAGCCATTGATAGCCTGCGACCTTGGGTTCTGGGCATGTAGAGTGTAGGGTTTGATCATTAGGCGTTCAAGGTTTGAGGTTTAGGGTTCTTGAGGCCAGCGATCTCTGCAGCTGCCTGCCTCAAGTACTCATATAACTGATGCCTGCGAAAGTTGAATGTCATTCGCGTGGCACTAGAAGGTTTATACTAGGATGGGGTTAGTTGGTGAATAGGATTGAGAGAGGAGCACTGAGCAGTAGTCTTCCGGCCGAGCTACACAAAAGAAGACAGGGGGAGGCGTTACAGTTGTTGCGCCATTTTTCTTCTTCTAGCCCTTCCAAGAATCTAGTCCTTCTTGGAGGACCTGTTTTCATTGTTCATCAACTGGTTCATATGCTGCGGCTTTGCCCAAGAAGCTGCAGCTGATGGCCTTAGCATGCCGAATCCCAAGCGGAGTGCAGAAAAGCTGTGTGGCAGTTTCCCTCAGATAAGATTCTGCTGGTATATGTGCGCATGACTTGGAATTTCAGCATGTTTCCGCCTTTTTGACAAGCGGCAACTTGCAAGCTGTGCTGCTGCAACCTTGTATCTGGACCCACTGCCATGCAAAGGCATGGACGCATCAATTGCCTCTTCATGAAGATGCTGCGGGGCTACTTGGGTCCTTGCCGCACGACTTTCTGAACGAGCTTTGCTTGCGGTATGCAGCCGCCATGCGTGCTTGGGCCGCACGGCAGCCAAAGTCACAGCTTTACCACATCAGGGCCATCTTTGTGCCGTTGCTCTCACATTCGGCTCGAAATTCTTGCCCCCAAGGTGGTTTTGTTTCTCATCTTTGTCTTCGATGTTATCGTACCTTGAACTTGCTCGTATCCTAAAAGTCGAAAAGCTTCTAGTTCATTAAATACAAGCCAAACTTTCTCAAAGCTTGGATGGCACCATATAATCGTTCTGCTTCTTTGGCAGTGACGTAACTGCGTGCTTTGCTCCGTGTGTACGTGCTTGTCAGACCGTGCGCGCTATCCGGTCAGTGCGGGCGTGTGATTCAACAGCTTTTTCCACCGGCCTGTTCGGTATCCGCCTTTGCATGCAACTTTGGGGAAACTCTTGGAATGCGAATGTTAACCTGTGAGCGGCTTCTGCAGCTCGTGTTCCTTCCTAAGCACACATACGCGGCTTCTTGAGGTGGATCGCCACAGGAGAACCGATAGAAAGGCTCTCGAGTTCCTATCTTTAGACTGGACGCCAGCTTCCAAAATTGTAAGCTATCATTATGCAAATCAGTGTTCGTTAGCTTCGCTAAGACGGGCGTAGCAGGGGTCGAAATTAGGCTGGATTTCTTGTGAAAGCTGAACTGGCTTGGTAGTTTCACAAAACAGGGACTTGGAGGGTCCTTTTGACATCATGGGGTCACTATTCGGGATTCTGGAGGGCTACTGTTTGCTACTGTTTGAAACTACCAGTCTATTGCTACTCTTGACAGGGGTCAATACTTGAGGTGGTGCCACGAATCTGCGTCACCTCAAGCCCCACGCCCACGTGTATATTTCACGTAGCTGGTCACTCGCAAGTCTGGCAGAGGGCTTGGGTCCTTAAGCCCTATAAACCCTACATAAACCTATCAACGGTCCCCAAAGCTAGCTAGCTCCTAAGATCAGGGAGTAATGTTTTGGGGGTACCTGAAGCAATGAGTATTTATTTTGGGGTATACAGGAGTCTCAGGAGTCCCTGCATTTACTCATGGAAACTTTCGAATTTTCATGTTTAGACCCGAACTTCTTGGAAGAATTGTTAAATCAGAACCCGGCCTAAGCATGCAAAATCGGATTGAGCATGCTCCAGGCCCCTTCCGGATTTTGGGAACCCGTTGGCTTGACCCCGAAGGCGACGTAGACACGTTCAAGCGCTGGCGTGCCACTGAGTCGAGGCATGGGCAGAATGTCGCTTGGCTACAGGCTACTTGGACCAGTGCATAGATGTAGTGCTGAGCTTCAAGTGCGCAGCAGGCAGGATCTAATTCTTGCGTTTCCTGCAAGGTTGGAAGACATGTGACAACATTCGGGAGGGTCATTGTGAGTCCGATGCATCAGCACGTAAATTGGTGCTCATGGGATCACAGGCAAGTTCTCGGGCCATTTGCCCCCATCCACGGACCAGAAGCCATCCCGAACAGCCCACCAGCCATCGGAAAGGCGCCGCAGGCCCCCTGCCCATGATCGCAATTTCAGCTGGAAGGTGATCATCTCCACCAGGGGCATTGCCTCTGGGCAACGAGGTCCACGGGTCTGTAGAAAGTTCTTTGGTTTGAGAGTCTCGTGATTTGAGATGTGTTGTTTCAAGGTTGCAGGGTGTCGAAGGCTTATTTTGTGGCGGCTGTCCCAGTCATGTTGAGAGCCGAAGGTGCAATGCGGCTTCGTTCCCGAGCATTTGCTAAATCATTCCATGTTCGCACATCTGCACCAGCAGATAGAACCTATTTCTGATCCGACAGGGGTGGATGTTTCCCAAGACTCTGAACTGTTGCGCAAGCTCACAATCTCAGTTTGAAGCAGGTTGAGCGAAATGCAAAAATGGATTTCAGCGCGTGTAGATCGCAGACTTTGATTTTGCCTTAGAATGCCTCTGTAGGACAGCAAGCGATACAGAAGTGTATATGCCGCCGCTCTTGTATTCGGGCCCCCGTGGAGCAAAACGCAACTCAAGCTTGCTTTGAGTGCACGGGGGCTTCCCTTGACTGATCATTGCGCAAAGCAGCTAGGATGCAGAGAGACTGCCGCCAGCATGAGGTTTGAAGACCCTTCATGCCCTTCATGTAGATGATGACGTGGCAGGAAGGAAGCACATGCCACTGGGCTATATGTGCTTGCGTGACATGTTTAGGACAATGGCAAAAAAGCTGCCGCTAGGAGCTGTGTTGACTTGGATCAATGTTTGGCCCGGGTTTGAATTCTTTCGCTACAACCTACAAGACACACATCTAGAATCCAACATCCCGGTATAATATCCTTGGCAAGTTCCTGGGCCATTTGTCCTCATCCGCCGGATTGAAATTCGTGGACCTGGTAGGGCCGAACCACGTCGCAACCCTCCTCGGCAAGATCATTGATAGGCGCGTCCTTAGGTGCCGGGTGGTTCGGGGTAAATCCCTTTGTCTGTTGATGTGCTAAAGTTATGTAACTGGCGGGGGCCAAGCCACACTCTCCGTGGAGAGTGCACAGTTTTGTAATGATCTGGATGTGTCCACGCTCCCTGTGCGGCAGCGACATACCCCAGCTATGGCTGACACTTCGTCACATGATTTGTGTGACAAGCGGCCACCTGGTCCAAGGACTCTACCACTGGGGTCTGCATTCCAATGTTCAAAAACAAAAGTCCCGTTCGGACAAGTCCAACTACCACAATTTGGTCATGCTGTCCGTATCGGCTAAACTTGTCGCCCGCGTTGCGGCCAGCCGCTTAAGTGACTGGTGTGAAACTTGGCTCGCGGAAGAGCAAAACGGATTTCGCCCCCGAGGTATTGACGATGTGCAACAGTTCATTTGACGAGTTATAGAAGAGGTATCAGTCTCCGCGTCGCAGGACGTTTTGGGAGTCACCTGTTTCGACATTGTCCGTGCTTACGCTCGTGTCTGTCGTGTTGCCCTCTGGCAGTTGTCGTCTAGACTAGGAGTGCCCGGCTCTTTCTTGGGAGTCCTCAAAGCATTGCATGAACACACTAGCTTCCTCCATCGTCCCCTATCCTGTTTTCCATATTCCACCACGCCATTTTACTCACGTTTCGTGCACGTAGGTCCGCGCTTGCTAACAGCACCAACAGCACCCCAGGTATCGCTTGGAACTTCAAGGTGGGCGGACGTCTCACTCGAACTGGCCGGGCCAAACACTCCTCGCGTGGGGTGGTCACATCAGTAATAGGGGATGTGGAGTTTGCAGACGATACAGCGCTGTTAGGTAGTGTTGATGAGTTGAAGGGAGCCGAGGCCCTTTTTGTACAAACTTTGTGGGATTGGGAGCAGCAGGAACATTCCGGCAAGCGGGAGAAACTGTTGCTGGTTCCAGGAGGGCGGAACTCGTTCGACGTGCTAAACAAATTCGAAAAGCGACTTCTCAAACATGTCGGTGCTACGCACTGCGATAACGCGGACCAGTGGGCAGAAACCAAGAAACGTGTGCAGGCAGGCTTCTTTGCAGTTAAACGTATTTCTAAATGCTGGTCAATTGGTATAAACAGGGGGAGAGGGAATAGCAAAGGGTTGGCACAAGCACGAAAACTCAGAGTCATGAGATGTGTTCTAGAGGGCACCCTGTTGGCCTGCTGTAAAACTCGGGTGTGGAGCTTGGCTCAGGAACGTAAAACAAATGGTCTTAGCTCGTGGTATACGCAGATGTCTCGGGTTAGATAGGTACAACATGTGGGAACACGGGTACTCAGACGAGGCTTTACGCCACATGGTGCAACGGGACTCCTTCTCCTCGCTGCTACACCGTAGTGTGCTCAAATGGGTCGGGCACGTGGCCCGTATGCCCTGTCACCGTCTTCCCAAAATGGCCCTGTTTGGCTGGCCAGCAGGTATGGAGGAGCGTAGGTCTGGGCATTTTACGTTCCCTATGTGGGTGTCTTGGTTGCTGTCCAAATACCACATCTCAGACATGGATTGGTTTAGGCTAGCGCAAAAGCCTACGCGAAACTGGATCAAAATAGTCAATGCGGCCTTGCCAAGGGCACGCCTGTCGGCCTCACAAACACTTCAGGTCAACGCTTGGACGTCGGGTTCCCACCCTCTTTCGCTGGGATGATCCGGCTGCGGTAGTGTCCACACACCACCAGTCTACGTCTGCTGTGCCCCCTGCCAACCCGTTGCGCTGCCCGGCTTGCCCCTTCATAGCTGTCACCGCCTGTGGTCTGCAAGTTCACTACGACGGTGAACATGCGGTCGAAGGTGCGCAAGTAACCACAATCCAGTGCAGAGAGTGTCCCCTCTGTTTGAAAGTCTTCGTCCATCGGCGGGACATGCAACGGCATAAATGTCCTGCTAAGCCCCATTCTATAGATGACTTGGATCTATCGCGTAATGACCACGGCTAGCCCAATACCACAAGTGAATGTTTCAATTTGGCGGGTCTACACGGACGGATCAGGGCCGCAGCCGGGAGTCACCACCATGTCAGGTTGGGGGGTAGCCATTTGGGTTAACGATGTTCAAATGCCTGAGCCGTCGTTTGAGTTGTTTGGTCCAGTGTGTCTTGACAAGGGTGATCCACGTTGGGTCGGTGCTGAGGCGCATAGCAATAACGTCGCGGAACTTACGGCCATGATAGAGGCGCTCCTTTGGTTAGACTCAGAAGCACCAGGTCAAGAAGTCTCGCCGGCCATCTTATACTATGATTCCACGTATGCCTTCACAGCAATCACGGGCAGCAGCGTGCCGGAGTCTAATGAAACCTTGGTTACGCAAGCAAGAGCGGTCTTGCGTAAGGTTCGTAGCCGTCGCTCTGTTGATTTCTGTTATGTTAGAGGTCACTCAGGCAACCTTGGAAATGATCGCGCCGATGTCCTTGCAGGCCCCCATGCCGGTCGATCCCCTGTTGGTCGATCACTGTTGGCGATGTAAAAAGGTTTTTTCGGGCCCATCGCATGCTCGTCAATTGGCGGGGCATGAGGCACACTGCAAGGTTGATGGGGCCCCGCCCGCACACATCAACTGTCGTTTTAATTGCGGCGACAATTTGCACGGAGGTCCACAGACATGCCAGGTGGCAACAAGCATCATGCTAGGGAAGCCCGTAACACGCACGAAAAAATATGCCGGGGTTCCGAAGCTCTTAATAGGATCTGTCCGTTTTGCAACATGGAGTTCCCGGCTGGGTACTCTGATGAGTATCTCTTGCAGCATCGATCCTCTTGTTCGAGCCGTCCGGCGGACGCGCCCTCATTAAAGCGCACGTGGCCGTGTCCCAAATGTAAAGCCAACATCCTTGTGTCCAAGAAGGAAGAGCATGAGCAGTCATGTCGAGGCTCGGCCAAGGCTAACCGAACATGCCAAAAATGTCAAACCATCTTGCAATCCGCCTAAGCTTGCGTCAACCACGAAAAGATGTGCATCGGCAGTGACCTCGCAAATCGTACGTGCTCACGGTGCCAAAAGGTGTTCCCTCACTTTGGTGCCCGCGTGGCTCGCGAAAAAAGGTGTGGTTTATAGGCAGATCGTTTCATTACGTCTCCTTCGTTTCCGCGTTCTCTCTTCAGTAAGGCCGTTCTTGCTTTCTTTCTGGTCGGGGCACAGCGGTCCTGCTCGCAGGAGACCGCGCTCCAGTCGCCGCCCGTTGCTGGTCCCGTCCCGGCGGTGGTCCTGCTTGCAGGAGACCACTGGGTGCTTGTTGCAGGAGACCGTTGGGTGCTTGCACCGTCCGGCCAGGTCAGCTATTGCCCTTCGCTCTCGCTTTTGCTTTACGTGTCTCCTAGACCTGTCCTGCCATGCGTCCCATTAGTGATCCCTTACCCTGCTGTCCCCCACCCCATAGCACAAAACCGGACACTCAATCCCGTGTGCAGGGGAGTGGGCCACCGTTCTCCCCTTCTGTTTTCTTTTTCCTTTTTTCTTCTTTTTTCTTTGTACTGCTCTTCCTTCTCATGTTTATTATGTGTGCAGAAGTGAATCTCAGAGTTTCTCTTTAGTTCTTTACATTACTGCTGCATCCGCAAGTGCATAGGGGATCAGGATCATGATACAGGAGGCAAGGGTAAGCTTCCTTCAATTCGGAATCTAAAAATCTACACTATAAGCTATTGTTTTGCGCCCAGGACCCTACATCCCTACCCTGATCAGTCTCAACCTGCATTAAAATGGAGGTCGTTTGACAGATGGTGGATGAATTCGACAGTTACCTTGCGGATGCTCGACCTCTTTGTGGACAAGACTATCCGTCAGAGGAGGACAGTTACTAATCAGGACGGAAAAGTTTCTTTCTTGTAGGGTCACCACCTTGCCCGCCAGCTTTTAGAGCCAAGCAAAGCCAGTAGCCCTTCTCCCAGCCCCCTGTGCGTGACATGTCCGACCCCAGTGTCACCATGCGTCTCGAGCGCTTGGAAGACTCAGTGTCAGACTGGACGGCGGCTTGTCGGATTCGTGCAGACGGCTTGAATGTTCTGTCGGCAAAAGCCAAGGAGCTGATGAAAGGGAGTCGGTAACTGCGGCGGCTCAAACAAGAATTGCGGAAGGTGATGTGGATTGATCTTGAGCCCGCATTGAAGGAGGCGATCGATGACCCAGCCAGGCTGGAAACAATTGCGGCAGAGTTTATGCAATCGTTCTCTCAGGGAGAGCGATATCCAGGGGATATTCGGGGTCGGCGCAAGTGTGGGGGAAGCACGCGCACTTGACTTAAAATTTTGTCCTAGCCTTGCTGCCCCAAGGGCTCACGCGCTAGTGAAGCATCATGCAGGACCCGCGCTAAAAAAGCTAATGCCCCAGTTCAGCTGTGGATCCCCCTTAGCAGTGGGGAATCCAAGCGCAAGCGCCGTAGGCAGGAGAAGTCTGATCCCAATGCCCCCCAATGCCTTACCTAAAGCTAGGTTTCACGGACCCTTGATGGTTATTGCCCAAGCTCCCCTTGACCACTGTTTTGTCCAAAGCCCACCTTGGGCCAGCCCTGAAAGCCACCTCTCTACATGTTGGGCGGTGTCTCTGTTTTATTGTCGTGTACTACCACTCGTGTTTGTATTAGGTAGTAGTCCTCTGTTGTTTACGTACGGTCTTGAACGGTGGGGCTAAGATCTCAAAGTGGGTTTTTCTCTCGATCTGTGGTTCTCCCTTCCACCCTCTCCTCCCTCTTCTGCCCTTGAGCCCAGTTATCTATTTAGGGATGTGGTTACTTTGGATTGCATTTGTGTCTTTAAAGGAACCAGGACGGAGGTCTGTACAGGCCGAAATCCCTGAGCGACGACGATGATGCAGTTCTCCGACTGTCAGTCCGTGCTCAGGATCAGGATTCAGAATTCCAAGAGCCTAGAGGTGAAAGCGCAGGAGTGGCGGCAAGGCAATCTGGCGCCTCAAGGAAAGGTTGGGCAGCCTCCTTTGGGAGGACTTCAAGCTTGCACTCGGTGACAGCGTCACGGCCGAAAGACTCCAGACCATGCATTCTGAGCTCTTGCAGATTTGCGACCGCCCTGCTGATTTGGTAGGTATTTTCCCTGTAGGCTCGCCGCTCTCAGAAGCGCAGGTCTTTGACGTGCGTTTTAGACCATCACTGGGCGCTTTCAGGGTTCACATTCTTTTTAAACAGCACCTGTCACTGGCCCTGATTCAGGCAGGAGGGCAGGCAAGCCTGGATCCACCTTTTTCGGCAGCAGAGTCTGCCAGGAAAAGGAAGCGACGTGCCTCAAGCCCACCTGAGACGCGTCCTAAGTCCGCTGCCGCTCCGCGTCGCGAACCCCGCCGCGACTCGCGCCCCCATCGCGACAGCCGCCGTAAGTAAGCGCCCGTCCCCATTCCCAGTATTTGCGGCTTCTGTTGTTCTGCTTCTGCTTGTTTTCCACCAGCCGACTGGAGCAGCTGCGAGTTTTGGATTGGAGCTGCTTGAGTGGGCGGAAACATTGCTGCGGCGCCTATTCACCACATGCATACCTGTATTTAAGCAGCATTTCTGCAGACACTGTATGGCAAGTATCGAGCTGACATGTCTTTGCGCGAGTTCCCAGTTTGTTGAGATCCAGGCCCCTCTGCTGAGCTCACATGGGGCCCTCGGACAGTGAAATCACAGGAAGTCATTTGGACCCCAGTTTTTCTCTCGTTGCGAGTTGGTCGTTCTTAGGTCCCTCGTGTGTTACAAACCCCTCTCCTTAGTTTGTATGGCGTCGCATTCTGCGATTGCTGCTGGGGTTGTCATTTTCATCCTGTTCCCTTTCATACTCTTGATGCCCAGTGAGGCCGAAGTTACTACCGGTGAGTTGGTGATTTTGACAGGAGTCAGAGCGGCGGTCTGGACAGGCCAGGAACGATGATGATGTGGTTTCAAGGTCTTCCCTCTAATCGGCGCTCGTGTCACGCACAACAAGGCTTGCGGCCGTTGAAAATGAAACCTTATAATCGATTCAGCCCGTTTTGTGCTTGCGTGCTTGGGACGTTACGATCCTGCTTGTCAGGAGACCGTGTCCCCCCGCTCCACGTCTCTGGCCCCAACGTGGCGGAGGTCCTACTTGCCAGGAGACCACCGGGTGCTTGTCACCGGCCGCGCGGGTTGGCCTAGTTTGGTTTCGTATGTCATCGCGCACTGTGCCCTGTCTTGTCCGGTTGTCGTCCCGAGTCGATTCCCAGTCTGTCTTGTTACACGTCTCAGCACTGCGGTTGCTTGATCTTTCCCGCCGTGTTGCTTCAGCTTGTGTCCCCCCTTCATTTTATAGGGGGTCAGTGAGTGGACACATGCATCATATCGATTTTCTTTTACTTGCTGCGTGTATGTCGGCACCGATGCCGGCTATTGCTTGAGAACGATTTTCGCGTGCAGAGACAATCGAGAATGATCTTCTCCAGCAGTAGCCTTCCACAGCGGTTGTTGTTTCGCTGCTAAGTGTCATGCAGAACTCGTTGGGTTTTGGATTTTCTCGATTTGTTTCGAAGGGTTTCTTGGTTTTCTTTCAGTTTGCCCGGAAATGAGAACCCTGTATCCACTTGATTGACCCTCCTAGGCTTGAGGTTCTAATCTGCAACGACAGGGTCGGCTTCAAGACTATCGATGTGGGTATGCGGGTGGCCGCGAGGACATACCCGTAAGGACGTTTGGGTAGGTGTCACGCCACCAAAGACAGCTTAGGATCCTAGCTAGTTTGTGCTCAAGGTCCCATCGATTCGAGATTCTAGCCTAGGCTGGTTGTCCCAATGGCTGCTCTCTCCATGGAGGCTAGGGTGGAAAGGCTAGAACTCCAGCTTTCGGATTGGCAGTCGGTGCTGCGTGTCAGAGTTCAAGGGCTGACGTCGCCGCAAACCAGGGCGGCGGATATGGACGAAGACCCATGGAAGATGAAACATCAACTAGGATGCCTTTGCTGGGCAACAGCCAGCCTCCTAAACGCTTGGCAACCCTTAAGGCTGAATTTGTACAGGTCTTCGATGCGGAAACCGATCTTATTCCCTGTAGGTGCATAGTTGCACGAGGCAGCTTTGTTTGACATACGCTTTAGACCCAGCTTGAGTGGATTCAGGGCCAACACCCACCGTGGGCCGGCCCTAAAGGCTACGGAGAGCCATGTACAGATTTGGGTGCCTTTGTCGTCAGCCGAGAGCAAGAAGCGTAGGAAGAGGGATGCTTCAAATCCGCCCGAGGCCCCCGAGGCACATGCGAAGTCTAGGTCGGCTCCGCGTATGGATACAGCTCCGCGTGGGAGTGCAGCAAGGCGCCGCGGCGATAGAGACCGCAGGCGCTAAATTTTCTTGGGCCCTTTGAGCTGTAGCATCCTGGGCGGCGGGTTTTCTGTACTGGGTCGGCGAATTTCAATCCGACGGATAAAATATGGCCGAGAACTTGCCAAACATAATCGGCCAAAAGCAGTGCTAGCAGGGATACTGTTTTATAAAGTTGCTGTTATCTCGCTGTTAGCAGACTGGTTGCAGCTTGCTTGGGTTACTGGTCCTGCATGACATTGCTTTCAAATCGCATGTTGTCAGGCCATCACTTCAGCACACACGAATGCGACATCCCCCCTTGTTGGCCGCCATCTGCGAGGCAGCTTACTTCAGCAGATTTACATCATTGTTCAGAACAGGGTTTAGAAGTTCGGTGTGTGAGACAGTACAGGTGGGCCAAGATTTGGAAAGCTTATGGTGTCGAGGAATTATGTGCGTGGTGTGTCTCGGGTAACCACGTAAACTTTGGTAGCTGTTAAGGGGTTGGGGCTTTGGCCAAGACTCAGGCGCTTTCAGGTCACATATGGCTTAATGCAAAGCATGTCAGATGTCATTCAGGACAAACATGGGGCAGCGGGGCCATTGCGAAGTGAGGGGGGGCAAGGTCGTGGGAGCGTGGTGTCAGGTCAATTCAGTGGCAGATACAGTTCGTGGTAAGGGCTCACGGTGTGAAGGCCAATGCACAACGAGGACGTTGGCTTGGGGCGCATCTGTAGTTTAATCTTGGGATTTTGGGCTTCTTTTAGCGCGGTTTTGTTGACGCTTTGCAAAGGCAAAAATACACGGTAAACTGTTGGCGAATTTGTTTACTTCAACGTCAACATGTCCACCTCAAGGTATATAATACATGATAAGCACAATCGTTACCGTTTCACCATTTTCCGCATATTCTTAAGGAGTCCACGGAAGATACTTTTGGTACGTCATCATGGCTGTTGCTTTTGTTCATGCTGTTATAGATCGTTGCAAACATCTTCAATAGAAAAGCCATGGCCGCTGACAGAAATTTGGGCATCAATCCATGTTGCCCACCCTACCACAGCGAGATATTGCAAGTCAGTTAGTTGTCTTGACCATCAACATTGGCCCAGCTGTTGCAAAGTCGGCTGAACGACTTTTGAAAATAATCATATTCTCTGCGAATTTTTGCAACAGGGTTCTTGGACGCCCATCGAAGTTCTTTTGTGGCCGTTTCTCAGAAACACATCCCGCCAATGTGTGCAGGATTCTATGCTTTCGTTGGTGCCAGCATGCTCTGGCGCAACTTCTGGATCGAAAGGAACAAACGTTGTGACAGATTTGCCATTGTCACCCCCGACAATGTTTACCTAAGTTGCCAAAAGCAGGCTCCGAAACCGGATGCTGACAGCAACCGTTCAGTCATATGTTGCGGAAAATGGTTTTGTTCGGGGTACATTGGTGGCATTCTGCATCGCCAAGTTTGGGGCAGCGTACAAACTTATGAAAACGGTTTAAATGGTGAAAGGAGAGGTGACAAGATCATGTGTCCGCTGTTGCCATCATGGAATATGTGATTCTGATTGGATCCCATTAGGATGTGCGCCGGACGGATTTTGAGAAATATGCAGCAAAGTTCCGCTATGCCGAAGCGAATTCCAATATTTTTTTTAATCCAGTGCAGGTGCCAGGTGCTACATTCCAAATTACTGACATACAACCTTCAAACATGTTTCAAAAGTTACGGAACTGTGTTACCCGTTCGGCATTAGGTTCCAAGATTCGAAACACATTTTTCCAAAGGGTAAGAGCTGGAGGTTGGAACGGGAGCTCCAAGGCATGTAGGCGTACTGGGACTGGGCCGCGGGCTTCGGACTGACAAGGTTTTGTGTAAAGAATGAGATGCGCGAATGTTTGTGTCCGAGTCCGAGTCTTGCATAAGAAGACTCTTCCATTGAACGCGTAAGTCGAACCAGTTTGGAGCCTTTTTGAAGGAGCTTGATGCGTGAATGACATCGAACCTTCAACTTCATATATGTTTACAGGAGTATCGATTGGCACATAATTAATAGGTTTACAGGAGGAGTATCGACTGGCACATTACAGGCCAACCAAATTGAAGAAAGTCAAGGGGGGTCAGTAAGATGCGACGCAACAGTGACAACGATTGCTTGCTGTGAAAGATCTACTTATCATGCAAGGCTTCCCAGATGACAACTTCTTCGAACTCCATAGACTGGGCAAGACACATTTTGCCTTGAAGCCAGGCCCCCGCTAGAAGCGTCTGACACATTTGGGAACTAGTAGTTCATCAAACATTATTGTTTCCAAGCGGCCGTTTTGGAAAATTATCCCCATATTTTTCCTCTATAGACCTATATTGACCTACCTACAGGGGCCGTAAATAATTCTCACACAGGATCTCTAGATCAAACCCCCGCTGGCTGAGGAACCTGGCTTGGTTCATGCAACATGCCCGCGCAGGCTTTTGAGGCTCTTGCAAAGCTTGGCCGGTCTAATTCATTAGTTTCTTCGCAGTCGTTGCAAACATGCCGGCTAGCAGCGCCCTCAGAATATGATAGCAACAGCGAAAGAAACATGCATCAACAGAATATTCATGGTGAAAGTAACAGTAACATTGATAGTGTAGCATTACTAGTTATATGAGATCTTGATATTACAAGTAGCCGTGGTAGGTGTCGCAAAGTGCAAACAAAGTCCTTCCGCATGTTGCGAAGAAGGGAGGACAACCGAATTTTGGCAGAGGGTCTACCTGTAACCCCGATTACATAATGACTTACAGCGCGTTTTCCTGTAACCCGATTAGCTACAGCGTAGTAGTCATGATGCCCCGTAAAACTGTATGTAAATGGGGTTACAGGTAGGTTCTGGGGACTTGAGGGTTTTGCTGGCAACATGAGTGTTCCTTCAGCGGTGCCCCACAGCTGGACAGCAATAGCGACAACCTTGTGGTTGTGGGCTTTGACTACAGAAGATGCTATTTTCTTTTCACTCGTATATATTACCTTCATGTTCCTTTCCACTCCTTCCGTCCTTAGTAACCACCAGCAAAATATTTTTCAGGCCAAGAGCCCAGGGAGTAAGACTATGACATGACATGACTCCCATGCACGGTCCAACTCAATTGACAAAGATGTCCGTGGACGTGGTGGTAATTTCCGTGGATGCGAAGAATCTTGCACCACTTGCCATTGCATCTTTGACGTAGAGGCAATGTCACTTCTGGGCTTATATACCGCGCTGCAAGAATCAAGAGCAGCCATAGAATTACTGATGATTCTATTCATGAGCAGTTCGACAGCAAGAAGATACCCTGACGCTCCCAATACGAAGAGTGTGTAACAGAATTCTAAGTGAGGGCCCTATGTGTTGTGATAGAATAAGCTCAGCGACGCATTAAGCCACTCACCACAAGCTTCAAGTGCCCGGGCTCCTAAACCTGACTTCTATGCACTTGCAAGCCCGGCGTTCCATGGAGTCAAGAAACAGAAAAGTCATGGTGCCAACACCATCCTACACTCCCCGCTATGATCCCCACAGAGCCGTTTCACGGTGGGACCTACAACAAAGCAGCTGTTCCTACTAGTGAAAATCACCATAAGCAAACACAGGATTTGCATAGATGCCAGGGGCAAACATTCTCCATGATACGAAATCCGGTATCACGGAATGCTAGAAGGAGCTCAATGCGCACCCAGAATTGGGCGACGCCCACCTATTGCTATGGGCAGTGTACTCGCATTGCCCCCAAAGAACTCTAGAATACTGAAGAGGGAATTGTCATGCAATCCTGTTGAAAATCCCACGCATTCCCAGGGTCCCCAAGGACCTATAAAGCTCTGTATCAGCCCAGTTTCCGGTTATTTTCCAGGTTTTTTTCCACTTGACTCTTCTTTAAAAATGAGTTATGTAGGCCTTTCAACCCTAAACCGTATGTGCATATATATATATATATCCCAAGGCCAGAAGACAGCACTTGCTGTCGCTGCAGGCGCAGCCGCAACTTTGGCCTCCACGGTGCCTGGGTGTCATTGGGGTGTAGGGTTTAGGGATTTAGGGTCCAGGGATTTCGGGTAGGCTTTAGGCATCTAGGGTTTTGGGTTTAGGGATTTAGGGCCCAGGGGTTTCGGGTCTAGGGTTTAGGGATTTAGGGTCCAGGGATTTAGGCTCTAGGGTTTAGGTTTCAAGGATAGCTCAATGTAGGTAATACTTACAGACTTTAGGGCCCAATGTAGGTATCATTCATATGCTCGGATCCCTATGGTACACCTGACCCCAAGATGGCCAGAAGGTTGGTTAATTTTGTTGTTAAGGATCTCCTTTTAGGCCGCGTTTTCCCAATTGCTAAACCCTAAACCCAGGAACCCTAAACCCGTAAATCCTAAACCCCCTCTATAAGGACCTTTAGCACAAGCCCGAACTTGGGCACTATGCATGATTTATGCGGGAAATACAGCGGCATAATGTACAGTGTCCCTTCAAGGGGGCTAGCGAGATATATCGGGATTAAGGGCTTAAATAACGATTTACGTCGGAGAATCAGGTGGAGAAGATGATAGAAAACACGGAAACCGGGTTAACACAGGAGATTCTGGGGAAGATTACCAATATTACGGTTCTAGATTGCTTACGTATTTCTGGAAGAGGATGCATCTAACATTCATCAAAATCATGTTGGCAGTTATTGGCCCTTGTGGGGGGATAAGGGGGTTAACGACTTGGTGCTGTGTGATAAATCAGTAAATGTGTTTCATTTGCAAGCACGCAAAGATCTTTATTCATGTGATGTTTTGATATACTGCTGTATCAATGTATCAACGTATTGATGTCTTGACTGCTTCATTGTATTACTGTAGTTGTGCATGGACGGATAAATGGATGTATGTAATCATGTGTGTATTAATGCGTGCATGAACGTAGGTATGTAGATGCAGATGTAGCGACTCCAACTTTGGCAAATACATTTTGAGGGCAGGAAGAATCTGCGAAGATCCCTGGAAGGCGCTATAGACCCTTCGCCAAACCTAGTTTCCGGTTCAATGTCCATTTTCTTGGCCATTATTGGCGGTAAATAATCCTAAACCTTACATGTCACAATACAACCCCATATACATATATATATATGGGGTACCCCCCCCCCCCTCCAAAAAAAAAACCCTACCTTTTACATGAATCCATAAGGTCCCGCCCCAAAAAACCTACCTTTTGACATGTTCCAATACGGTTTGTATTTGCCTCTACAATAAACATGAGAATCCATTTCTATGTATAGTACTCCTCCCTCTAAAACCAATGTTTCTGTATTGGTCTTAAATCGTTTA